CTCTCTCTCTCTCTCTTTCTCTCACTGTCTTGCTGTCTCTCTCTCTCTCTCTGTAACTATCAAAATAAATAATCTTTTTTAAAAAAGTAATAAAAGAATCTAAATTACCCAGGTTGATATATTTCACAGTTTTTCACATGCCTATTGAGATTAACTGAGAAATCAAAGTTACAAATCATTTTATACGGAACAACGTAAAACCCACTGGGAAGACAATGATAATGCTCAAGTACACTTGGGATAACTAATCTTTGGTAAAGCTAGTCTTTATATCTGCACCTTAATACTTAAAAAACCCCTAATTTAAATCAAGGTTAAATAAGTATGATATCAAAATACTAATAATGGTTGCTTCTGGGCAGAGGGTTCTGAATGCCTCCTTTCTTCAGCATTTTGCATGTCTAGCACTTCATATAGAATGTGCCATGTGCACTCCAACAATCAGGGAGAAAAGTGTTCTCAAGTTGGAACTAGCGTGATACATAAAATGAGACTGATTAGATTAAATGCAGGTAATTACTTAGCCATGAAATTGCCCTGCCCAATTAAATAAGCACTCATTACTGTAAATGTGTGCTTTGAAGTGGATACTGGTAGATAAACTCCAGCACAAGGTTTCCACTTTTGGAATAAAAGCATGCAGGTATCACAGCACTGGAGTCTACTACCTTCTGATACCTGCACCTACCAAGTTCTTGTTTTTTATTTCCATTTTTTGTTGAGTGCATGATCAACAAAAACTAACAGCTGCTTTCACCAATCTGTAAACCTTCATATCTAAAAGTATTTTCCCTTCGTGAGAAATGTAATGAAATCAAGATTTCAAATTCCTGGCTCCATTTAACTTTAATTGGAAACAAGTTACTCTTCCATGCCATCTCCTTCCAATGCCATGGTCCCCAGCACGACACTAGGGTTGAACCAGAGACTGCAAAGTCTGCAAGTTGGGTCTGCAGCTGGCTGCTGCCACCTTACCGCTCCCTTTAGCACAGTCCAGCGTTTGTGTGTGTCTGTGTGCACACATGCTTGTGTATGTTTCTTAGCAGGAAAACAGTGCAATCACCCACAGTGGGCCATGCGCCCAGCCTTGGGCTCTACAACCCAAGCTTCTTCTCACCCCTAGATAGGGTCCAGGGGCAAGGGGAAAACTCCTCTCCAGGTACTGCCCCAGCAAGCTGTGGTCCTCTGGCCAGCACATGACAGGCCCTTATGAATGATCTAGGTGAACAGCCCACTAAGAAAATGAAACTGGGAGACGCTTACAGAACAGAACACTCTCCATAAGCCTAGGGCAACACTATGCGCTTTCTTGACCCTAGACACCTGCCACACAGCTTTCCAGAATAATTGTATCCCCTACATTTGAGAAAATGAAGCAATGACCCGTAGGCCTAAGATCTTGCCAGGGAAGGAAATGGTCGAAGATGGTTTTCCCGCAGCTTTCTCTGGAACCACTCCAGCTCTAGATGCCTAGCCTCTGGAAGACCCGCCCTGCTAGGAATGCTTTCAGCCAACGCTGCACACAATCACTCACATAGCATTTTCTATTTCTAGGCGGGCGTTTTATGCTTCGCTTTGATTGATTATATCAAGTTGTCATCAGTCTGTCCTTAAACAGCATGGAATTACTCAGCCATATCGCCCACCTATATTTAGTTCTTTCTTCATCGACGCAGCAAAGAACGCACGTGGCTGGCTCAGAGCTCTTCAGCTGCACGTTCAGAGCAAGTCAATGTATTTAACATGAGGATATTTAACATCTGTCTCAGACCCCTCCTCCCCTACCGCGTACAAACGACTCATGTTTCTTTTCCAGATCTCACTTGCTTTTATGACCAAGAAGGAAAACGGTGCAGGAAACATGGTTTTCTTCGTTACCAAGACCGTCTTCAGTAAAATGGCATTTCCAAGACTTCTATTTTACCTGATGCTGCCTCACTTTGTGGGTTATCGGCGTAGTTTTTAAGAAGTCCTAGCAAAGGAAACTTGAATGAAAGGGCAAAGCTGAATGACTCTCCACCTCTCACAGAAGTCAATGAATTCTGCACAATAAGTAGCACTGGCAAACAGAACATCTCTCCCAGTATCAGCTCCAAACGTTCCGGTATCAAAGGGAGTTAGCCTTTTGCTATGCATTCAAGCACCACTTACGCTGGGTACCCCATGCTAATCCGTGTTTCAGGAGCTGAGTGATTTTTACTCTGACATCTGAAACTTTTGTGGCTTTTCATCTGAGCAGAGAAAACAGCGATAGTGGACATCTTCCAGCTGCATACCGCATGCAATAGGATTTATTTGGATTAAGAAATGCAATTGTTCCAGAATCTGAAGGAGAGGAAAATAAAACTGACACGTATACTTTCATGCCATCACACTGTGAACTTAGGTCTTGTGCTACATTTACAGTTTAAAAAAAAATAGCAAAAATAAACAATAGGCTCAAGTCTTGCCAGAGCCTAATTTATTCACCAATAGGATTTAGGGTGATTTACGACTTGCAATGAATTGAAACCGAAGTAGCCAAGAAAGCGAACAAAGACTAGATGCTACACAGCACGGTATGAATAGCATGCACACACAGCATCTTCATGAAGACTCTGTGCGTGGTTAAATCCCATTAGCCTGACTTATTGGTGTGACCAATCATCAATCAATGATGTCTAAAACTAAATTTAGTAAGGTTTGTCGTAAGTACGTTCATAATCCTATCTCCGAAGTTAACAGACACTTAGGAAGAGAGAAGAGGTCTCATGGCTGACAAAATCAAATTCCTACCTGATCAGGTAAAAATCGTTTAGCCATTCTAAGAAGATTTCAGGTAATTTCCTTCAGACTTATGACTTCTATTTAGACCAACAAGTTCCATCTGTTACTGCAGAATTTTTGCATGCCTCCAACCTCTGGCTGTTGAACAACACCCACTAAGCAAATCACCCGTTTGGTGAGGTTGACTGACACCCACTCTGTTAAAAACAGTTAAGAATCAGGGAAGGCAGGAAGGCAGCCTCCCGATGCCTGTCTGGTGCTTTCCATTATCATTATCCTAACTAATCATGACAAACCTTCCCAAATCCCGAGGCTTTCCAGCTTGAACACCTACTCCCTCCACTTTCTCTCTGCACTAATGTCTTGGTAGATCTCGGGGCAACTGTAGTTCCAGTAACTTTGCCATTGCAGATTCATTTTGAAATTGCCTAACTTTGCACAGGGCTCGCCATGTCAGCCACTTAAACCTTGCAAACCTCGCCTTTATCCTGGCATGCTACTAATTACACACACGTGCACATGGTTTCACTTCGCTGGGCTCCCACTGATAGCTCAGACTGTCCCGTCCAGCCACTCCCAACTCCACGCTGCTGCCCCCCACCCCTTCCAGCAGTGCTGGCTCTGGGAAGACCCCCGTTCCCCCTGTCCCCATCCCCAAGGACTCGCAGATTTCAGACTCAACTTTGGGAGTTTCCGGCTCCATGAGACCCTCGCTGAGGACAGCTCTTGTTACCTGCCTGCTGTTCCTATCCCAGAGTGGACAGGCAGGTAGGAACTGTAATGACAACCCCTACCACTCAAAAGAGGGAGAAAGGTCCAATGGCAGGTCAGGTTGCATCTCCTGAGGATGGCTTTTACAGTCCAAAGGCAGTGACTTAGGCAAAACAAACAAAACACTGCTCATGCCAAATCTCCACGCAAGTTTCTATTTTACAATCATCAGACTACACTATCTTTTTCTTCACTTTTTTTTTTTTAAGGAGGACATTTTTCCGTTTCATCTCTCTCTCTCCTTGTGTGTGTGGCAGCTGCTGTTTGATCTGCTCATTGGCTCTGATCTGTTTCATGTTTCAGCCAAAGATTAAAACTGCTCTGTAATTCTAAGCAGATGGGCCCAGGAGTGCAACCCTATCATTATACCTTCTCTCTTCTGCCCTGGGACAGCAAGCCTTCCATCCAGACTTTTCAAACTCTGGGGTGGTGGGGGCTCAGGGTATGGATACCTCGGCAACGGGGCAGGTCTGGCCCCGAAGACACTTCCCAAAGCCTGTGAAGAGTTGGGAGCCACCCACCCCGGTGTGGGGGTGGGGGGGAGGACTACAAAGACAGCAGCCTGCGGGTTAATACCTCCCCTCTCTCTCCCTCGACCTCTCAGGGTGGGGTGGGGGTGTTTCTGGAGTAGCCTGATGTTCTGTCCTAGCTCCAAAGACTTCTGCGGGTCTTGCAGCAGGACGGCCGGGAAGCCATTCTGCTGGGATGTCAGGTGTGCGGCTCTGAGGGGCAGCGTGCTCAGGACACCTGCGCGGGCGTGGCCTGTACTGCCTTGCCGCGTGATGGTTCCCAACTGCAGCCTGCCACAAAATCTGCCTCGGCCACCGGGGTGCAATGTCTGGAACGTTTTTAGTGCACCGATGTTCTCCAGCAGGCATCAGGAGGGGGCAAACGGGGCGCTGGGTTCGGGTGAGCTTCAAGAGACTGGTTTTACGGCTCACATCTTGGCGACTAGGGGTCCCCTGGACAGGGCACCCCTTCACCAGGGAGCGGCAGGGCGCGCAGACCACAACCCCGGCTCCCCCCGAGGGCAGGCGCACAGCCGGGTGCCTGCTCCCCTAAGCCGTCCGAGTGTCTCTTTGCAGTCTCGTAAAAGCGCGGACCACATCAAGCGCCCGCAGCACTCTGCCTCTGAAACAGGATCGCGCAGCCTGAGAAGCCCGCCTAGCGGAGGAGGAAAAGTTTTCCCTCCGACTTGAGGCCGGGGACTCTGGAGATCAAAGGCGTCTGTGTGCGCGAGCTTTGCGCCCTTCCAGAAAGGCGCTCTGGCAGCCAAACAGCTCTGGGCGCCCGAGGGCAAAGGGGCCCCCGCGCCAGCTCCCTCTCCCGAGGCGGGACAGCAGGGCGCAGGGCTCCCTCGGACCCGCCAAGGGGCAGTGTAGGCTGCGCTGCTGTCCCCCGGCTCCCCCGGCGGGGACCCCATCTCCAGCCCCGGCGCAGCGAGCTGCCCAGCGCGAACTCACCGTGCAGCAGGAGGGCCGGGAACAGGTATCTGAACAGGAGGCGACACGGCCAGGACATCTCCAGTGCTCCTCGGGACGCGCCCGCTCGCCGCGCTCCGAACCGGTGCCCGCGCAGCCCTGCGACTTGGCGCGCACCGCCCTCCGCCTCCGGCCGGGTCCGGCAAGTTCTCGGGCGCCGGGCGCGTGCGGACGCCGCTCCTCGGCCGCAGCCCGCGGGCGGCCGGGCCAGGCCCCGGCCTCAGGCGGCCGCGGAGCACCCCATACCCGGCGGGCGCGGCGCGGGGCTGCGAGGCGCGCGCTCGCTCGGCGCCGTCGGGCCGGGGTCAGCGACCGGCCCGCGTCCGCGTCCGCGTCGCGGCCTCTCGGCGAGCCGCCCCGGCCTCTCCTCGCCCGGCCCCGCGTCCCGCCCCGGCCGCCGCCGCCGCCGCGCGCGCCGCTCCGAGCTGCAGTGGCCGCCACCGGCGCCGCAGCTGCAGCGTCTCTTCATATTTCCCGAGCGCCGCCGGCGGGCGGCCGGGCCGCGGCTCGGAGGAGGGGCCGGGGGAGGGGTCGGGCGGCGACGCCGCGCCACCGCCCTCGGGCCGCCGCCGGGTGGGGGCGCAGACTTGAAAGGCCCGGACCGGCGGGGCCACGCCTCCCCTCCCCCTCGCCCTCCGCCCCTCTCTCCAGTGCCCCCTCTCTCTCTCCTCCCTCTGGCTCGGCCCCCCCACCCCGCCCCCAACTGTCCTCCTCCTCTTCCTCCTTGCTGCCCGCTCCGTGCCAGCTTCCGCCAGAGAGGGGCGCACAGCCTTTGGACCCCCTCCTCTCCTCTACCGTCCGCAACGCAAAACCGGTGCCCTTCGCCCTTTGCGCTTTCTCCCCTGACGGCGCGGCTCCCACGGTGGGGAGGGGTGGCCGACGGGGTGCGGGTCCCCAGGGTGCCGCCGAGTCGGGGGTGGGGGGCGGCCGCTGTGCACGCGTCGGTAAGCGCGAGAAAGCGCGGGGACGAGACGAGACAGTGGAGTTCTGGAAGTTGGCCCAGCGAGTGGGGATGCTCCTGCGCTGGTCCCCCCTCGCGGGGCGCGGTGCCTCTCCCTGCGGCGAATCCCCTCCCGCGGATGAGCCCCCAGCCTGCGGAGGGCAAGGCCAGGGCAGCAGGGGGCCCGTTTCTCCCTTCCCTCCGCCGCTGCGGAGGCACGGGACTTGTTGGAGCACGGGGGACATCGCCGGGAAACTTTTCCCTGTCAGTCCCAAAGGAAGTACGCTTAGCCCCTTTCCTGAATCCTCTCCGCTCCAGGGGCAAATCTGCCCACCAGGACCGCGCTGATTTTATCTAGCGGTGGTGCTGGTGGTGGTGGGGATGGGGGGTGTTCCACGTTTCATGTTGGGACCAGCTGTGGCCTCTTGGGTTGCCCCAGGGTGCTGGGCTGCTGTACTTGGCGCGGGGGGGGGGCGGGGTCCCTCGTCCCCCTGAGCCCCTCTCTTCTCACCGGGGGAGGTTCATGACACCCAGTGGGGAGAGGGTTCATGACTCCGCTCTGCCAGTGCCGTAAATAAAACACTTTCAGTAAAATGCCTGCCTTCCCAAGAGAGTTCTCTGCCCTTTTGAAGAAGGCAGTGAGTGATTCAACTCCTTGTGACTTTCAAAACTAGTCGGGTCTTAGCGTGGATGCCATAGTAAACGCGACGAAAATACATGGGACAGTTTCCATGGTCCAGTCACCCCCCCCCCCCCGGAGAAAGCCAGCCAGGGGCATTTTGAGAGTGTGGTGGTGGTGCTGCTGCTTGATGTTTTCGTCTGTCACCGTCATTATCTTTTCCATCGCTAATAGCGGGGAGCAAAGCCTGCAGCAGCTGCCCTGCTCACACGCATGTTGGGAATTTGGAAGATGAACGTGTTCCTGCACGGGCAAAGACAAAGATGACCAGAGTGCTACTGTGAGCGCCGCGTCGGTGTTTGGGGTCAGTTTTGCTCTAGGCAGGACCGTGTTGCTGGTGGTTGCTCATCCTGGTTGCACGACCTGGGCAGCAGATCATGATTTTCAGGATTTTAAACCAAGAACTTGATGTCTTCATGTATGCCGGGCCCTTGGAAATGGTCGGAGCAGCATTCTTGGCTGCTTAAGCCATTGGCTTGTCACTGACTACACATGCGAGGGAGTGTTTAATTTTTCTGTCTTTTCATCATTTGATGCCTTTGAGTCTCTTAGGTATTATTTGAAGCAAGCAAATAACCTCAGAAGGCACGGGGGAATGGTGTCTTTTTATATAAGGCTGATAGTAATTGAAAAATGTCAGTCATTCATCACAATAATAGCAGAACAATTAGGTAATGTATTGACTTAAGTAAGTATTTAATTTTGTTATTTAAATAAAAAAGAATGAAACAAACAGACCAGCTGTAATTTGGTGTCATCTTTGCAAGTCGTTTCATTTTTTTTTTTCTTTTCCAACTGGTTTTACTGGTGCGGTACAAACATAGCCAGAATGATGTCAGCACTGTGAAATTTGTTTTGCCAATTTATTTTCCACACACAGTGTCTTGGACTTCAAGGCTGGACCCTCAGCTTCTCCCAGAAATGTCCTCATGGACCTCTGCTGGCTGAGAAGCTGTTTTTCCTCCCTACGGGGCTCACTTTCTGTGTTCCTTTTTATGTATACCGCTAGGGTACCTGCCTCTAAGGAAGAAGAATGGAAAAAAAAAAAAAACCCACAATATAGTATAAATTTGTTTCAGATTGGCAGGGTTGGGTATACGGCTGGAGTCAGGGAATTAGGTAGAGGGTGTGGTTAAGGAGCTAATAAAGCAGTAAGTGGATCGCAGGATCTGCATCCATGAAACAAGCCCAGGGAATTCCCCAAACCCCTTGGAGGGATCCCGGCCTCGAGCCCAAGCACGTGTAACCCAAGATTCCCTGTGTTGGAATATTCAGAACTATTCACGAACACTTTGTGTTGATGGGGAAGAAGAGACTTGGGAGCCACCTTCCCAGCCACGAGAATCACTAGACACATTGGCAACTCCCATGGCCAGTCACCAACACGGGTTCCCAGTGGTCTTCTCCCATGGACACCAAGGGTCTGCATGGCGAGCTTTGCCATCAGCTCCGTCTCTCAGCACCAGTCTTTTGCTCCACCCTGGGAAATCTGAGACAGGAGCAAAGGTCCTGGGACACATGTGCTGGGCACCAAGCTGGAGTGAGTGAGCACCTTGGCTAGATTTTCTTGTGGGGCTGTCTCATCTTTTAGGGACCACAAAGTGCTCCGTGTCACGTTCTCCTGGCAGGATAACAAGGTCTCTTAACACTACTATGCCACAATGTGGTTTTCCAATGCAGTCTTAGTAAAGACTGACCTGAAGGTTTGCTCTCATGCGAGCCATTTAGAATTTCAGAGATTCAGGGACTTTTGCTTATTGCAGGCAGTGACATTTTTTTAAGGGTCATAGCAATGAAAGCAGATTCCAAACTCTACTGAACAGTGAATTTTCCAACCCCTGTGACCCCAGAGGCCACAACACGTCCCCAGGAACAGACTTTTCTCAAAACATGCTGGGTGTCAGTGCCAGCCCCATAATGTCAGGGTGAATTTCTATAGACTGGAAGCATCTGGTCTTCTCTCTCTCCCTTCCAGCAACTGGGCTGGTGTTTCCAGTTTTTCACCCACAGGCAGACTTCAATAAATGGTAAAGACATAAACATTTTAAAATGCTCCCTAGCTTCCTTGGAGGCAGAGATCGCCACATTATCCTGAAGCCCTTAACAGGGGCATTAACTGAAGAACCATTAATGTTGATTAGAACAAGCTCTGTTTTGAAAATAAGGTGGGGGATGGTGCTGTGGCACAGTGGGTTAAAGCCCTGGCCTGCAGTGCCAGCATCCCATGTGGACACCATTTCTAGTCCTGACTGCTCCTCTTCCAATCCAGCTCTCTGCTACGACCTGGGAAAGCAGTAGAAGATGGCCCAAGTGCTTGGGCCCCTGCACCTCTGTGGGAGACCTGGAAGAAGCTCCTGGCTCCTGGCTTCGGATTGGTGCAGCTCTGGCCATTGCAACTAATTGGGGAGTGAACCAGCGGATGGAAGACCTCTCTCTCTGTCTCTACCTCTCTCTGTAACTCTTTCAAGTAAATAAAAAAATTAAAAAATGAAAATAAAATATAGATTAGATGTTCTTCTTAGCCTCACACTCTTCTGAGCTTAAGAAACTAAATGTACCATTCCAATTTCTACTCCCAGTGCCTACCAGAGAAACCCAATGAAAGTTTCAGAAGCTGACCATTCCTTCTTCCCTTCACTGATTGACCCAATGTGCCTTGATCCTCTGCTAAACACCAGCCCCATCTGTACAACTAGGTTCAGGCAGGTGCTCATGGGTGTAACCATCGATTCACTCTGTGTCATGAATCTGAGGATTGATGGGGAGACTGAGAACCCTGATCGTGGAAAGAATGTGTGAGACCACTTAGGGGTGGGAACAATGAAAGACTTCAGTGGCATTTTTTGTCTCTACCTCCCTGTGATTCCTAGAATATTCTTTGTTGTTAGCTGGTTGCCTTGTCTACTCAACATCTTTATCTGCTCAAATAGATGCTTTGGCTCTTTGAAAAGAGCAAGAAGACTAGGTGTTGTGTTTGTGTCTCCTCCTCCACACCTTCTCCAGGCCTTCCTTACTGGGTGTTTGCTGGATTGGGGCATGAGACAGGATAAGATCAGACTACCAAGAAAGAGTCCTTTTGAGGCCACACCCCCTAAAATCCCTGCAGCCCACAGCACCAGCAACAGGAAGACACAAGAACTGGACATTCTGTGCCAGCCTGCCAGAGGGAGTTAGGGCACATGGAGCAGTGCTCACCTGTGGGACAGATGAGAGGCGGGCCATTTCCAGCACAGTCTTGTGAAAGTCAGGTCATTGGGCTCATGCTTCTCAGCTGGGTAACCTCAGGCAAGTTACTTGTCCTGGCTGTGCCCATTTCCTCATCTACAAAAACAAGGGTACTAGTAGCACATGCCTGTGCATAGTTAAGTACTACGTTAAGTCTACCCTAAAAAATAACTCCTTGACCATGAATTTGGACTAGACCATGATGCACTCTCAACAATGACAAAATTGCCCCCAAGGGGTGAAAATTGGTTATTTAGCAGTGAATACATGGGGAGGTGGGGGAAAACTAGGAGAAAATATTGTAAAAGGATCCTTGGTGAGGGCAATAAGGAAACAGGAGTTGA